AAATTCATTGCAAAAATTTTTTTTATAATATCTTATAAACTGAAGTAGTTTTTAAAATACATATAATATCATTTAAACTTATCCTCTCTTAAGCAGCAAAGGTGCTACACTAAAGTGACCACACGTCCCACTTTTTGAAGGACTTCCTGCGGATTTTTTAAAATGTCCCGCTTTTTGGAAAACATTTGCATTTATTATTTTAAATGTACCATAAAAATATAGTACCTATTATTTATTAATTATTATAGCGAATATAAACAAATTAAAAAACAGATAAAATGCATGCAGAATAAACTAAAGTAGGCGATGTAATGAGTTAGATTTACTCGGTTATGTTCAAACATTGTCGTTTCGTCTCGTCAAGGAATATGTATTGTCAACGGAGGAACAGCTAGCATCAGCTGAAGGGCTATTTGCTTTCCACTTCATAAACCAGAATCAAAGTTTCAGATCAAATGACTGTACGTCGCAAGTGATCAAAACATTGTATGACAACAAATTTGCATGTGCAAGGAAAAAAAAAAGGAAGCAATTATTTATAATGTTTTTTCACCATATTCATTTCCACAATTGCAGAAAGAATTAGATAAATGCACATTTATATCCATATACAGTACAAAGTCTTTAATCTGGACTCGTCGGGACTTCGGTGATTCCGAATTATAGATCATCAATTTAAATCTGGTAAGATGGCATGCAGAAATTATAAAATTAAAAATATGAAACCGTAATTTATGAAATAAAGAGCAATTATGATCTAAAGGATATTAAAATTTACAAAAGAAAGTCTTAATATTTATTTGTTTACTTTATTAAACATTTCTTTCAATGTAAGTTGTTTAAGTTGCTTCGTTTTATGTGCTAATACTTTCCCTTTAATTCTATAAACAGACATAATTTCTTGTTCAGTTACAAAGTTCCGCTATTCAAGTCCTGTAATTGCTGTGCCGAGAATACCGACTAACTTGTCAATCGAAATTTTTCGTTTTCACTAACGTCTCTGTCACTTTCTTCATGCCTTTATCCATTTTTTGCAGCAAATCCACTTTTTGTTTGATGGACATCGAAACATGCTTTCGCTTTGTAGATCCTTTGGCAGCTCCAGAATCGGAAACTCTTTTTTGACATAATCGAAAGTTCATGCTTACTTTTTATAAAATTGCTCCAACAGTCTGCAAAAAATAATAAGCCGAATTCAATTAGAAGATTAAGGAACAACACAATCTGCAGCATTAACTGAAATAGATAATTAGATAATTTTAGCCTAGCTTATACCATCCGTTATACATTAAACGCTCATGCATAAAGGTATTATGCACATGCGTATCCGGATTATAGATCATTCCGGATTATGGACGTCCATATTAAAAGACACTGTATTATGATGCTTCCAACCACAAACATTTAAAATTATTTCCTAGAATTGTTAGACTTTTGATCCAAAAACAGGAATTAAAATTAGAATATTAGATTTTGTTTCATTGCTGGGTGAAACTTTACAAATAATTTTTTATTCAATAAGTACTATTTTAAAAAAGAATAATTTAAACAATAAAATTATTGCCCATTGTGAGGGTAACTCTAATGCAAATTTTGTTGGAAAAGCTAGATGAGGTATCAATAACATTTTTACGAAACTTAACGAACATTTGAAACAAAAAAATTATTCGTATAAGTTGTGCAGCACACATTCTACACAATACTATTCAAACAGCATCTGACTTACTTCCAGTGCATGTTGAAAATATTATTGCAAAAATTTATTCGTATTTATATATATAGACTGTGCATGTTTGAAAGTTTGAGGGATTTTTGTAAAAGCACAGAAATCGAATGTAAAAGAATTATTGATTACAGCAAAACACGGTGGTTAGCTCTTTTTTCCAGCTGTAGAAAATATTTTCAAAATATATGAACCATTAAAATCATACTTTTTATCACTATGTCCAAAAATATTGTAGCTCTGTTTTGAAAATGACACATCACAAATTCGGCTTCAGTTCACACAAAACCAAGTTACGTTATTTCACAATGCTGTGGAAATTATTAAAGGGGACAAAATTTCAGTTACGGAAGTGTCAAATGAAATCAATAATTTAAAAACAAAATTGTGGGAAAGAATTGATAACAATTACGTTCCTTTAGTTAGTCGAAAGGACATCACTAGGTTGGAAGAACAAAGTGCTATTAAACAACCTGATTTTCTGAAAGAAGTCAGAAATTTTTATAATAACTGCTTGGAATATCTTGAAGAATGGGCAGCTAAATTCGAGGATATTAAAAACTTTCATTGGGTGACATTAAAAAAGAAGACTTTATGGGAATATGTGGAAAAACCTTTTTAATATAATATATTAGTAACCATTTTTCGAACAATAATATTTGTGAAAATGATATTTTTGATAAGATGCCATTAATAAAAAACACATTATTACTGATGAAAAAATTGGTAAAAGTAATAGTTTAGGGTACCCCTTGGCAAAACTTGGCGATTTTTGGCGGCACATGGATACCGATTTTGTGCAATTCTTTGACTCGTTACTTTGGCTTGCGAAGCCAAAATAACAAGACAAACAATTGCACAAACTCAGTATCCATGTACACATCGATTTATTTTCACTTAAAAAAAATCCCCGAACTGCACAAAAATTGCATTGCACACTCCTTTGACTTTATCCATGTACACATCGACCTATTTTCACTTAAAAAAAATCCTCAAATTGCACAAACTTGCATTGCGCACTCCCTTTTCTTTGTCCATGTACACATCAATATATTTTCATTTAAAAAGTCAAAGGAGCACTAAATTCTACAATATAGGGAAACAAAAATACATAATCTCAATAAAATAATTTTAAACCAACAATAAATAACATAAAAAAGGAAAAACATTTTATACATTTAAGCACTACCAAAAGTAAATATTCACTTACCATGATTTTCGAGATCGCTTCGTACACCCAGAGCCACGTAAAAATCAAAATATCGATCATACTCGAATGACTTTTTTTCAAACCAGGTACTCTTTCTGATTGAACGCTTCACATAGTGACCATCTGAACCTTTCTTCCTACAAACCCATTCAAATCCATCTAAACGGATTTTACGTTCGACTAGACGCATATCCTTCCTACATACAGGACACTTTTATAATGGCTACTAAGTAAACCTTCATTTACACACCAGTCAAATAAAGCACTTTTCCCCTTTCGCTTCAAATCGAAACAGAAACTTCAAATTAATCTTGCTACATTCGGCCATTCTACCGTCTAAAGAATCAAACCAACACACACCACAAAAACGCTTACGAAACATCCCATGATTCAAAATTTTCCAGAATCATGCACCCGATTACGTCACAATAGGTTTCCATAACATTCAACTACTCAGGCTACCATAAATGAAACAGCAACTTGGAGATAAATCAAACAACAACTTCGCCTTAATACAAGGGGTACCTTAAAGTCTACTCAACCCAAAAAATTAAATGTTGGTCGTCGGCAAATGCGGAAACACACAAAAAAATGGACGGAGTTATTCCTTCATTTTAAACAGACGAATATTCCTTATGAAAATATTTTGGAAATTGTAGAAAACATGCTCTCCCTTTCAGGAACAAATGCAGCAACAATACATGTTTTTTCTAGTATCAATAAAATGTGGACAATTGAAAAAATACAGTTGAACATTAAATCTTTAAAATCTGTATTATGCCTAAAATATAATTTGACCAATTCATGTGACAAATTTCACTACATTTTATTAAATGATCCGAATCTATTGCAAAATATTCGCTCGGATAAAAATATAACTGTGAAAGAAAATCATAATTTTTTTAATAAAATATTAAATTAATTAAAAAACATAATATTCAAATTTTTACAAATATTTTTACAGTTACCAATAGTTAAATAAATATATTTTTGTATATTTATAGACAAATATATAATGTATATAATAAAATATATTTTTTGAAATATTGTTCTGCTTTCATAACTAAATTATAATTCTCATTTCATTCCATTTGTTCCACTTTGTCTCAATGAAAATGCGGTCACTTTATGCTACATTGATATGTAAAGAGACGGTAAAATATTAAAAAAAATAAACCACATTCTCATACATAAAAATACATTAATTTATTTTTTGCCAGAGAATGATCATCATCTCTGAAAATGTTTCTTCACTTAATATTCTAACAGTTAATGAAAACTAAATAATAATTGAAATAGTTTTTATCCTTTATACTTTTCCCCCATAATAGATTTAGCAATAATAATTAATCAAAGCACAGATCACTGTATGTGTTGAATCTCTGGTGTTCAATTCTTTAATATAAACAGGATGAAAATCAATGCATTAGGTCCCATGGTTTCAGTGACACTTGCTTTAAGTCTTGCACATTAAACTTAAGACAGCAAACATACTTTTTATTCCATGTTTTGTACTTCTTTGTCCATTTTATGCAATCTTAAACAATCATTGGGCAGAAAAACCAATGTTTTCAATTGTAAATGTTGACGAAATTTGAGATGGCAAAAATAAATAAGAATTTTTAAATCTTTCTAAAAAAATTAGTCTTAAATGATCAACAGGCATATTTTAATAAAAATTTAAAGATCACATTTTTAAATGTAAAATAAGAATAAAAGGTAAAATTTTATTAAAATAATTGGCAATGATTTTAAACACATGTAAACCTCCAATTTTCTACACATTAAATTAGCATTACATTAACTTAAAAAAGTGCAAAGCTATATTTCGATAAGGAACAAAAAGAGATCGGCCACTAAGTTAAAACTACTATGGCTCAGCACATTTTAATGAAAATATGATGATTATAAACTCCTTAGTTCCAGTGATTTCTCTTCAGTATCATTATAATTTCGCTTTTTATACAGCTATAATAGTATCGATAACAATGGTTAAAAATTCGGACTTCATATAAAATCATTTATAAAACAAATAAATATCAGTTCATCAGATTCATAAAAACTCACCCAATGAAACATTACAGAAATTAACACCAATAACAGAAATCAATAATAAACAGTAATACGAGTTACGGCTGATGCAAAACGACGAGAACATTGTTTACAAATTTCAGATATTGTTGCCACCATTTCTCATGCCATCAATTATTACCAAGGTTCGTAGAAAGAACAGGTTAGCTCACTTGGGGGAAACAAACGAAAAGCCAGCGACTCGTTCGGCTGTGACGTCACTGAAGTTCGCTGTAGCATCTCCTAATAGTAGTTTCGTATTTCCTTTTGAAATAATTTCTGTTTTTCATCGGAAATGTAAAAATTCTAATATTTAGAATTGAAACTTAACTACCTAAAATATTGTTTACTGTATAGAATAAGTCTTAATTTCGAAAAGTTCAGTAATTTCTTGTTTCACCAAAAATCTTCCAAACTTCCTTATAGAATTTGCCATTCAAGATTCAGTTGTTTATACCGTTACTCATTTTAGCTTCAATAGACTGAAAACCCACATTTCACAAAAACTGAAAAATATGTTGTGTAGTCAGAGCTTAAATTGCGCCGGCTCCGGTACTTTCAGTTCATGGGATAAATGATAATTCTAGCCGGAGCGCATCGGAGCCCAGCATAAAAAGGCTTCGGCATTTCTTTTATGTAATTAACGGAACTACAATTTCAGTAGAAATTTAATCTCAAAAGTTTTATTTTAACAGCAATAAAATTATATTAAAAACCGCTTATTAAATGTTAATTTACCTCTTTACATTTTACTGAATTATTTTAATAAATAATAATCAATTATTAATTAATGGTTAGATATAATTAATAAATATTAATTGCTAATATTAATAAAATATTATTTATTATTTGATAATAATTAACTATTTAATTTTAAATGATAAAGGATTTTAATAGTCATTTTATTTATTTATTTACTCTTGTTCCTCTTTACTAATGATCTTCCAAAAGGTTCCGGCACTTCTAATTTTAGAAATTAAGCCCTGAGTGTAGCGATATAGAACAAATTCAAATTAAGAATATTTATTCTATAAAGCTGTACAAACTTGTCCCTAATGTTTGGAATCTAATTTGGCTGAAATTTAAATTAATTTTTTGCTAAAGCCTACTTTCGGTCCAATTGTTTCTGCAGTACTTGTTTTCATTTAGAAATCTTAGTTTACTTGTGGCTTTTTTACTTCCTTGTACGAAGTAAAAAGGAAGTATTGTAATCGCGAAAAGTTTCAGGCAGCATATTTCAACGAAAATATCCATTTTGACCGCTATCGAATGCAATTTAACGATGTTTTTGCGTGATATCTGTACGTAAGGACAGAATAAAATACTCTTTTCTTCAAAAAAATTATTAAACTGCTTTAAAAATTAATTCTGAAGAGAATTTTTCGTGGCGTCTGTACGAACGCATGTACGTACGTATGTCGCATAACTCAAAAACGAGTAGCCTCAGAACGTTGAAATTTTGCATATAGGACTGCTATAACATGTAGATGTGCACCTCGTATTTTGGTTGCAATCGGCCGCACCAAACGTATATAAATATATTTATCCACTCTGTTACCCGGCTCAGTGATCTCAGTTTCTTTACTCTTATATGTTGGTAAATTGTACATTTTTTGCTTTAAAAATCATTGAATTATGTTGTTTTTATCTTCCGGTTAAGGATTTTATGCCTTTAGTAAATCTCTGTGCAATATTTTTAGATTATCAGCAATTTTAAAATTGTTTAATTGCCGCTAAGCCTTTTTTAATGGCGGCCATTGATGTTTACATTTGAAACAGGAGACTAGTGGATTTGTTGCCAATCTAGAGAAACTTAGCTTCGCAACAACAAAGATAACGATTTCATTTATTATTTAAATCATGCTTAATCCTTTCTGGAATTTTTTCGAGGAAATAAGCGTTTAAGATTTACTTCGTAATTTTAAATATAGATATTTTGAGTTTTTATGTATTTTTGCCTTCCCGCGAAGTGAGAACTGAATTAATTAAATGAGAAATACTAAATCATCTGTGAAAAACTGTTTCTTTTTTGTTTTGTTTGCTTAATTTCTTTTATACATCATTCTAGCTTTATTATAGTATTTGAATAGAACATGTGGCAACGATTAGATAATTGTATTCTTTAAATGATATAAATTTTGTGCATTATGAGTTATAATATGAACGAAATATATCAGTTAACTGTTATATAATTTTTGGATTATATAACAGTTAACTTAGTTTCCGTTATAAAATTTATTAATAAGTTAAACTGTTATATAATTATTAATACTGTTAAGTGAATCTAGCGCCAGAGTGTCGCTTGGAACAAATACTAGAGTGAATTTTAAAGAATGCATTTATTATTGTGGTTTATGCGCTGTCGGCGAAATAGATTAATTGAATCAATAAGTTAAAGAAATGCAAGAAAAATGCGATAATTAATTTTCCAATACAAGGGGTCATGTGTACACACAAAATGATATGTATAGATTAAAAAAAAGAAATTGCATAAAATTATAAGTCGCTAGATTCTAAAACTTGTTTGTAATTTCTTGATGTAAAGCAGCAAGAAACAAGAAACATAAACAAATGAACTATTCAAGCTATAACTGAAAGGAAGTGTAATACTTAATCAGCAGACTCTTTAAAATCAGCAGCTGCATTATGTAATTCTATATAAAAATTGAGACTTAATTTTAATTTAAATCTTAATTCTTTGAATTTTACTTTTTAGCAAAAAATAAAAATAAAAATTTCCAAAAGTATTCAGATAGAAGATGTTAACTTTTTATATAAAAAATGAGTAAAAAAAGATATTAAAAGAATAGTTGCATATCCTCTATTATGTTTTGTTATTAATATTGTATATTTAGAATTTTATCTTTTAGGTTTCTATATTTATTTCACTTATGTATTGTTTAATTTATAAAAATAATAACGAAATGAAACATGTAGTCATTTTCTGGATTGTCATCCTCATTTTTTATTTCAGAGAAGTAAATCCTAGATATTAATAGGTGGTGTGGTGTGTGTGATTATGGCAAAGCCTCGAGGGCTATGCGCCTGAAGGGAGGGATGCCTTCGTGGAGGACTTTCTAAGGGAAACTGGCTCGTATACTCGTTACACATGGGGAAAACCACGAAAACGCCCATGCAGCCAGCCCGTTCGCGGGATTCGAACCTCGGACCGAACTACCAGTGTTCAGCGACTTTACCGCTCGGCCGCTGGTGGGCAGATATTAATAGGACTGAATGCTGTATGTGTGTTTGTTTTGGTATCAAAAAAGAAATATGTTTATATAATAACTTAAATATTACATTTTCATTTAGCATATTCAGTTTAACCATTCTATGAAAAAAAAAAATTAGAGTTATCAGTTTAGTTGTGGAAAAATATTATTCATACACAGATAAATACACTCATAAAAAACATTATGCAGTTTATCTTAACGTCATTTGACTGTCATCGTACTTTCTGTGAACACATGGAAAAAGGGTGGATGTTTATTTAATATGATGACCTGTGTACAATATCCCCACAGACATAATGATTACATTCGTAGATACTAGCAAAATATAATTCTGCAGGTAAATTTATATAATTAAATGCAAAAGTCAAAAATTGGTACTAAATTTTAAACACTACATTCAACAAAATCTTAGTAAATATGGATCTTAATTTTATAAATGAAATTTTGTATGAAATATATCATGGTGCACTGTATAGTAATGGAATGCAAATTTTAAAACTATAATAAATAAAATATTTGCTTAAGTTATATTATTCATTCATAATACAAATCATAACAAATTATAAGTACAGATAGAAAATGAAATTTTATATTTTACAAGAATTTTAGCATATTTGTTTTTTAAACGTTTCTATATTCTTAAATCATACATTTCCTAAATTTTGATTGCATTTAAATGCATGCTGTGTATTACTCTGTTTTCAAATAATATGAAAGAAAAAAGCCTTAATAATTAGAAAATTAATATTGCTGAAGGAACTGCTTTACTATCTTTGCAAAATTACTGTAACTAAATTATCCAGAACTGATAGCCTTAAGTATAATAATACAACTTAATTTGCTCGCCAAATGAATTGTGGACTTCTAATATGTTGCTTTCTGTACTCTGCGGTGTTGTTAGTCCTTCTTATTGCTTACATGTACCCGTGTATTAATGATATTGTATTTCTGGCATGTACCATATTAACAGTACAATAGGCTCAAATTCTAAGTAATTGACAAGGCCCATCAGCTGAACACTGGTGGTTTGACTTCAATTCCTGGAGAAAAGGCTGGTTGCATGGCCATTTTTCCATGTGTAACACGAGTTAATTAATGCAGTGAGCTACATACACATAATTTAAAACTATTTAAGCATATTTATATGCATCTGTCACAATTCACAACAATATTCAAAACCGTTGGCATTTAAATACACCTAATAAAATGCATAGAAGTTTCTATATATATTAATGAATAAATTAATTTAAGTAACCCGAAAATTCAAAATAACTTGCATCAAATCAAAAAACACTATAAGTTTCTATACCTATGAAATAATACATTTTGCTGATTATTTTTTATTTTGCCTGCATTATTGGTGCATAATGCAATCGCGCAGTGCGTACCAACCATTATACTACATAAATTTAATTATATTTGAGAGGAAAAAAAAAAAAAACGAATGAGTTTCCACAGTCGCGCACAAGCTTACATTCAGCTTAAATCAATGCAAAAATCTATGTTGATCTGAGGAGAGAAAACACATGGACCTTATAAGAAATAGACTAACCCAATTGCCTGTTCTCCCTTGTCTGGCGCGTTCCCGGCTGTCACCTTTATCACATCCGGAGCAGTAGAGACGACTTCCAGAAATTAGCAATGGTTGGCTATTGCAGCGCGTACAATTGTCACGAAAAAGCTGGTGGTAGTGTCTCATTTCACAAGTAAGAATTTAAAAATATTTTTATTTTTGACACTGAGATTGCTTTTAAAATACTTAGCATGTTTTTCAAGCATAATTAACGTTCTAAATAATTATAAAGCTGTTGCATGCTTTCAGGCTTGTATATATTTTTAGCTTTTCCTATGATGTAAGCGAATTTGTAACTTCTTCTTTTAGAAAATAATATTTTAAATCTGAACTAACAG